GGCTTTGGCCTTGCTTTTCCTTTGGGCTTCGGAGACACCAGGTCAATGACGACGGTCTTCATCTTTTTGGCAGGTGGAAGTTCGTCAATGGGGTCCTTGTCTTCCACGGGTGCAAGCATCTCGTCCTCTGTGTCATCTTCGATTCCATTCCTCGTCTTGTTCACCTTGGGTGGCGCCTTTCTCTTTCTCTTCTTGCTGCTGCCACCTCCCATGGCTTCTTTCATCTCCTTCTCGAGCTCTTTTATCTCCTCGGGGTCATCTTCAATTTCGTCCTCATCCTCCGACTCTGCACCACCGAACTCCCCCCTGAGAACCTGTTCCAGCACTGTTGATGACATGAATGTCATAAACGCTGCGCACAGAAATATGTTGACTTACCTGGATCTGTTTGCTTGTCCCACAAGGTCTTCGTCATGCTCGTTTTCATCGTCGCATTGTGTTGCATGAGACCGTCCGTTGTCTGGAAGGCTTTGATGTAGACCACCGTGACATCCGACTCTTGACCAATGCGCCAGATGCGACCGTTAATCTGCTCTTGATACACACCGCTCCATGTCATATCCTAACACCTCCATCAGAGACAGACACAGGGACATCAACACTCCCAACACTCACGAAATGTATCATGACGTTGGCCTCTGTCATGTTGAGCCCAGTCGTACCCACATTAGTGAAAAGCAGAACGCGGTGGGTTGGACTCGTTTTGAAGTTGTTGATGATACGGGTGCGCTGGTCTGGCGTGCTCGCTCCGGTCAAGGAGAATGAGTTGATTCCGTGCACGTGGAGGACCTGGCGTGCGTGTTAGTAATGGTGAAGATATTTGAACAGCAGACGTACAGAGACAAAAAGATCGACCATCATTGTGAATGACAAGTACACCATTATCTTCCTCGTTTGAGGTGCTGACTCCCCTTCGGGGACATCGGGGTGAGGGGGATAGACCAGGCTATCGTTGGTGTCAACAAAAGGATGGGCGGCGTTGTCGTGTCCCAGATAGTGTTGCAGGACGCGGACCAGAGTTTGGAGTTTGGACCCTCGCCTCTCCTCCCACTCGTCGAGGCTTGCAACTTCTTCAAAGGTCTTCTTGGTGGGTTGATGCTCGTCAGGGGTCCAGAAAGGGTAGGCAACCGTGACGCGGTAACCGGTAAGAAACTCCTGGAAGTGGGGTGAGGCTCGCCGTCTTGGAAGGCGAGATTGTGTTGGCTTACCTCCCAGTTTGTTTCCACAGCCTTGCTGGCTGTGCTCTTGAGTTTTTGGAGCTCGGCGTCGAGGCGTTCAGCTTCCCCCACTGTAAGGCGGACTGGAATGTGAACCTCTGTCAAAGTGGGGAGATCGTTGATTCGTTTGCTGTCGTAGCGCAGTGACTTGTTGGTTCGACGTATGACGCGGCATTGGAAGTGAGGTAGCCATTGGCGGATAGTCTTGCATGCGGCGGCCTGTAGGTGGATGGTAGGGTCGACGTGGGCGTCAATAGCGCGACCATTGACTACACCGTCGATGATCGCCTCATGGTCATCTGTGCGAGCGCTCTTCATCAAGGTGTGCGCTTGTCGATGTTCTGCCTTATACTGGCGAGCCAGCTCGTACCCAGCTTCTAGAGTGAAGTAAGGGAAGCCCATCATGCGGGCGATGTTCAGGAGGTCCTGGTACGGACAGTCAGCAACAGAGTTCTCCTTCCCAGTGGGCGAGAGTGGACCATCACTTACCAGGACCTTGTTCATGATTGGAGTCGCTGTCACTCCAAGCAACAGAAGAGCATTTATTTGTATGTGAACAATGCCGGTGAAGCCCCGTGAAGTTTCGCCTTTGAAGTCGTGGAGCTCGTCACAGACGACAAGACCCCACAGGATGTCGAAGATGGACGCCTCAAGCCCTTCTCCCTCTTCACGTCGCTGTCGAAGGGCGTCTGGCGGGGTTTTGACGCCCCGCTTGGCGGTATACCAATGCATCGCAGTGCAATTTCCAAACGTCTGTACATGCGGTGCTGTCAGAAGTGCAAAGGTGTCTGAAGCGGCGACTTACAGAGTGCGCACAAAACACAAGCCGATTGCACATTGGCTGATGCGAGGTTTTCCATGGGGAATCCTCCTTTGTGAAGAAGTCGGAGACAGCGGTCGCACTAGTAGGCAGACGGAAGACATCGACGGATCCTTCGCCAAAGAACCTCTTGACCTCGGAAATCCACTGGTCGACGAGGGAATTTGGTATCACAAGAAGGTGGGGGCGGTCTGGTACACTTGATTCTCCCATGAACATCGACTTATCCACTGTGGGGAAGGATCAGTGCTCGGTAACAAAAAGAGAGATGTTCACACCGGGCCCTTACATCCTCCCCGTCTAGGAAGGCGAGGTGTGCACGGGCAGCCGATGATTCTGACAGAGCGCCCCACACCCCGCGCTCCTGGAAGGCGAGGTGCTTGACAATGAGCGCTCGGAGGCCATGGCTGGCAACGCCCTGCACAATACTCGCCCTCCAGGACGGCGAGGCGTGCGGTGGTGTGGACCATGTTTTATTGTCGCCTGGCGGACGCACCACAACCAGTTTTGGCATTGGACGAGTGTTTCCGAATGGAGAATAGAGGGGAAAGGGAGAAAAGAACTCACCCCCTTCGACTATGTGCGGACGGTGCTGGTTACTCACGCTCTCCTCGCATACCCTCAGCGCTTGGAGAAACCCAAGAAATGCCATTACCTGGCAGGTCTTGCCAACGCCAACAGCGTCGCACAGAAGCATGTTCAATGGCTTCGGATCATTGGGCCCATGGAATGTCTTGTCCACCATCGCTGCGACTCCCACTGCTTGATGCCATTTGAGCTTGACAGGAGGGCCTTCCTGCGCCTCCTTGTTGGCTGTCGTTGGCTCCTGGCTGTCGTTGGACTTCTTCTTCTCGTCGATTGGCAGGTTCGCCCGCCAAGTAATCGGACGACCATCCCTGAAACCCAACAGCTCGAAAAGCCGGTCTTCGTTCATGTGGGCGAACTTTTCAACACCGAGGTCGCCCCTCTCATCGAGTGGTTCAGTGTAGATTGGTTCCCCAGGGCCGCCATTGGGTTCATCAGGGTCCGTGTAATTCGTGAAATGGTCGATCACCTTATTGAGGCAGTGTGTTATTTGCTCGGGAGTGGAGACATCGGCGAGCTTCTTGGTGCTACCTTGGGCACGAGCGCGCGCGACTGCATATAGTGGTCAGTAAGTACCTCGCCCTCCGGGAAGGCGAGCGACCCACCTTTCTCGATGCCTTTCTTGTCCTTCATCCTGGACAGGATACGGTCCGCCGGGATGTTGTGGCTGTCGAGGATGCCCATAATAAAACCCTCCCACTGCTGCAATTTCGTCATTTGCCCTGGGACCCACATGATCTTGGCACGAATGTCACCGAACAAGAGAGTAACCTCCCTGAGCTGGCTCGCTTTCACCACATCTGCGTCCACGATTTCTGTCGATAGTGTGGGTTGCGGCAGGAGAACAATGGATGCAACACGGGCGTACCTTTCATCAATTTCCGTGTGCGGTCCATCAGCCCTGCCTTCGAATTTGTCCCGCAGAGGAGTGCTTTCGCGGCCTTCCATGCCCTTACATGTCGCGAGACTGCGTGGAGTGTGATACCTTTGATGCACGGCATGAGGCGTGGGCGGGTGAATAACCCGTTGGAACCCCAAGCGCCGAGAAGGATTGGACCGAGGAATGGGGAAGCGGGGCCTACAATGTTGGCAGAGGGAGGGAACTCGTCGTCGTCCTGGCCCTCTATGAGCATCGGAGGCCAGAAACCCAGCTCCTTCAGTGCGTCGTCCATGATCTTGTTGAACCTGGGAGAGAAGACGCGGATGTATCTCTTCCACTCAATCCCTCCACTGGTGGACATATTTTTTTCGGCTTCTTCAAGTCGTTTTTTTGGAGGGGCTTGGTAGACGGAGGACATGAACACGGCGATCATTCTGGACTGTTCAGCAGTCAGACTTTTTGGGATTGGGGCGTTGCGCTTGGTTGAAGGCATATGGTCGAAGCCCAGACGCTTGTACACGTCCGGCATAGTAAGTGGGGCTGGTTCGCCCTCTTCTACATGGTCAGTCAGAAGGAAAACAAAACAAGAGGAGAGACTTGGAACGGGCATGGCGATTTTGTTGTGGGACGTGTTGGGGGGGTTGGAAAGTAGACACCAGCTTCGTGCTTCCTATTTATACGCCAGGATGGCATTCATCTCTGGCTTCTTTGCGCGTGTTGCAATGCTCTTTTTCATCTCTTTGACAGGCGCTCAACCTCGGCAGAATCATTGATGTATTTCAGTAATCCCGTCTCGACTAAAGGGCTTCCTTGGAGTGCATGCGCCCGTTATCGCAATGCCCGGTGCTTCAGCTCACAAAGAAGCGCCGGAAGTGACGTACAATGTAACCGATCAAAGTCGCCTTTTAATTTCCCACAATCAAGCGCCGTCTGCCGTCACGCGGGACCTATGTCTAGGATGGAGGCATATCAAAACACGAGTAGTAAGAAGAGGATGATACCGTGTGCAGCTCGCCTTCCACGACGGCGAGCAGCTGCACACCTGTTGCAACACGCAGAGAAACAAACGCCACACAGCTCACCTTCCCGGAAGGCGAGGTGTGAGAAGGCGGTCTCATCCGCGAGGACGGCTATGGTCACTAAGGAGCACTCGCCTTCCACGACGGCGAGTTTGACGCTGACATCCAGCTTTCTGCTGCTCGCCCTTATTTATAATTAACGTGCGTCTATCCTGAGAAGTCTAGGACGAGAAGACAACTTTTGAATTCACCAAGCCCGTCTTTCACAAAGTCACGCATACCTACTTCAAGGACTGGCCGACTCCTTGAGTGCGAAATATTCATCTGAAATGCAACGGATGAGAAGCTCACTCTTACCGTCCTGGATGGTGTGTGCGGCGTTCCCCTACAGGCAAACATCATAGATCGCAATATTGCAAAGCAAGGGCTGGGCAATTTCTTGGGCACGAAACAAATGTCGACATGAAACACGGAAGCCGAAACTCCCATTTTCACCGAAACAACTGGACCTCCTCGGGATGGAAACAGCAACTGAACACGGTCGCTCAGGGTGCTTTGCACGGCATTCAAAGAAACGCAACACGTGAGATGCCCATTCTCACCGCCCCAGAGGGCAAGCGCTCCACTTCCAATAGAAAAACAATGGGTGCGCACATGCAAATGGTGCCTCTGCAGACTGAAGACAGTCTCTCAAGGCACTTGGCATGGCGTTCTCCTTTTCTCACAGACAAAAGGTTCACACGGTGGCAGTTTTAAACCATAAAATAGGGTTGGAAAATCGCCCCTAGCAAGTCCATCCTACCGTCCCTACGCTCCCCTTATAACCCTGAGAAGCCCCATGACCGCCGTTCGAGTCAGCAATCGAACTAAGTATAGCACAAATACCCCGTGCCGCAAGTCAACTGACGCGCGATAAAAATACTAACGAATGGCGTAAATACAGCGCTCCACACCTTAGTAAGTCGCTCACTCAGCAGAGTGAGTTAATAACGCGATTGGTTACAATCGCGCGTGGATGAATAATCGTCTGAGTCGTGCTCAGTCATCCACGGATCCACAGTAAGCCCCGCGTTCTAGTACGGTCACTGACGACGCTATAAAGCAGAAAAGGCCGCCTCGGGTAGATCCCCCAGGCTTTTTGACCTAACGCACCACGTCTTCACCAAACGTGCACCTTCGCTTCGCTCAGGAGCACCCCCTCCCTAACCCATTTATATTATTGGGCGGCCAGCACCGTGGGACCATTCAGGTCGAGCGCGGGCAACGGAATAGAGCTAGAGATATCTCCACGTAGTTCTCGAGTTTCTGTTTATCGGCCTCAGAAGTGATGTAGATAAATCACGTCTCTCGAAGACAGGGATTCCTACCTCAGATCTAAACACCGTATCTCCGCGCTCGGATTCGGGCCTCATTTTTATCTCCCCCGCGACGAATTGATTCATATTGGCGGAAGATATTGCTTGTTGACGTGCAGAAGATAGTTCGCGTGGGTGGGAACAATTGGTAAAGCTTTAAAGGGCTGTCTACGGATGAGGAAGGATTCAGTGTTGACGAAATTGGGCTTGAAATGACAATAAATCAGGGGAAGATCGACCAAGATCCTACATTCAGATCGAAGAGACGGCGTTCTCGGCGTACAACCCGAAAAGGAATCACCGCCACGATGACGCAAGTCACACGCCTCACTGTTCCTCATCACGATGTCGACGCCTCGAAATCCTTGCGCGGTCCCAATCTTACCATCCGATGAGCAGCAAGGATGTTTTACGAAACAGGCTATCATCGACTAGACGATCTAGGTATCAGCAACACGACGAGCAAGACGTATCGAACATGACGATCGCGGGCGGCCTCGTTCTCGAACACGGCAACGAACGTATCAGCTGTGTTGGTGTTTCCGGCGGTAGAACATGGGGTGCCGTTGGATGGTGGGGATGAAAGTTTGTCACTGGTGTCTCCGTCGACTTCGAGTTCGAGTGGTAGCGCAGGTTGAACGTTTGAATGTTGAACGTCGAGAGGAGAGTGATGAGGGTGATGAGGATCTTAGCCGGCCCCTCGGTGCGTGCTTTTCATAAATTGTAAGCACCTGTCCTGACTTGTATTATGGCTACGCAGGACGATTCTGACTTCACGATGGTAGGGCATTGGCCTCGAATACGCAGAAGCTGCGGCCCAATGTGCCTACCCAGCTTTCGACACACTCGTACGGGGTATGCACCCTCTGCTTCATAATTCTCGTCTCCGACAAACTCAAAGGGAAAATTGGTCAGTCACTATGAAGATGGTTCAGTCAGAACCAGTCGCAACGGCGTCGACAGCAACGAAGTATGGAGATACGGTTTCGTCACTAGCCCTCGAGATCACGGACCTACGTCCACATACATCCCACCTCTGGCACCCTAAATCCATACCACGACCCACAGGAACCCATCGTACCGCAAGCTCTGCTCATACGTGAAGTATTTGCACCGGAGCCTCCGCCTACACTCGTCAAATCTCCGCCCTAACGACCCTGCCACATCGCTCAACGCCAACGAAACTCTGGAACAACCACGCCCATTTCTACACCATCCAGCAGCTCCTGCGCTGCGCCGAGCTCGACTGTTGACGCAGAAATCCCCCAACGTCGACGAGCACCGTCGACCTCCACACCAAGCTCTCACGACCCTCAACATCGTCCAACACCACCTCCGGCCCAGCACCCCGCGCCATCTACACAGACATGCACTTCCAGCACCTCAATTTGGGCTTGTGCATGACCATCCTCAATCGACTACCGGCAACATGCAGGCCCGCAAGGCTCGTGCCGACTCTCCAGCTCTCGCCAGGCCTGCCAACGCCCGTTTTTTCAAGTTAGATGAACAGTAGACTCGCGTTGGGAATACCGTCGCTGGGAAAGGAATAGAGGATGTGTCTGGTTCGCAGGGGTTAGCGAGAGTGAGTATCGTGATTTTTTCCTTGCTTGTTTCATTTATATTTCTTCATGTTCTCTCATTCCCCTCGTTCGTCATCACCCCTTTACGTGTTTCGATGTTCTGTTATCGCCGTCGCATCGCCATCATCTTATTATCTTATGATTCAATCGCAATGCTTCTGTTCGGGTTCATATTTACGCCTTCTAGCGTGTTCCCTGCCAGGCATTCGCCCCGAAGAGGTTGCTTTCGCGCGTATGCACAGCGTCTTCTTTCCTGTTCGCTGCTTTACCCTTTTCCGATTTCCTATCCATATATGCGCCCGTTTTCTCAAAATTTCCCTCTCTTTTAGTCGCGGTCTTATTTTTGTCCTTCGTTGATTCGTTGCTAACTTTCATCTTCTCTCGACAGATTCGAATTCCATGGTACTGACTCGAATGCTCCGGCTACGACCAAGCCCCAAAGACACGAATTTAGCGACCTTCATGCTTGACCGTAGCACCACTTTTACTTCCAGCCACTACATCCACGGACGACTCGATGGCTACCGTATTACACCCATCAACATTACCAGCATCACCTCGACATTGACAAACCCAGTACACCAAGCCCAACAACGAAGACAGGAGACGGCATCCAGGTGGAAAATGTATCTAGAACACCAACGTCGGCTTCCAGCATGATCGTCCAGACGACGGCCGACGCCTCCAACGTTCGTGACCTCAAAAGGAATCAAGACGTTCGTTCAACAACGCTCTCAATCAAGCGTATCTCGTCTCCGACGCCCTCTGCCACCTCTAGTAGCGTCCACGAAAAACGAGGGGAACCCTCACAACGTCGACATGCCTTCACAAGAGCAGACTTTTCAAATCGTCTCGCAGGATCTTTATCTCCCACCGAACACCGACGCGAGCAATAATTCGACGAGGAAGAACGTTGTTTCTGGAACTGCGAGCGCCGATGGGTTGGAAGGAGAATGTACTGAGACCAGACGCGGCCGTTGCCTCAGAACCCGAAAACACGAAGAGCCGGAGCCGAGGTTGTTGGAGGTTGTAGAATGGGTTCGAGGCCCGGAGGACGTGGCTAGGCACGAGTCGAATGTGGAGAGGGAGTAGGAAGACGAAGAAACAAGACCGGACACCTGCACCTGCGACAACGTTAACCCACCACCATCGTCTCTGCGTCACCGACGTTCACAATTGAGAGTATCTCCTCTCCGACGCCCTTCACCAACTCTAGCATCGTTCTCGAAAAACGAGCGGAACCCACACAACCCTCGACCTGCCTCCATGGCAGCAGACGTTCCATATCGTCTCGCAGGATCTTTTACCCCACTCAAGCCTGATAGGAGGAAAGACGTTGTTTCGGGAACTGCGGCGTCGATGGGTTGGAAGGAGACGTCGAGAATGCATTGAGAGGGCGCATCGTCGTTAACATTCATCTGTGGTTTCTTGGTGCAATGTGCCGGACGATGTTGGGCGAGGTCAGTGTACATCATTGCGTTCTTTTCTTTTTGCTTTTCTCTCGTTTCCTTGCCCGATGTTTTCTAATGGACCCATTTCCTATTTTTATCCTTTCTGCTACGTCTTTCTCGTTTCTCGATGAACTTGTATTATTTAAACTTTACTTCTTCTAGTCAACGAGTACTAGTGTCAAGGTCTACGACATGATGGAGCAGGTCCTTCAAGAATTTGAGAGTGAGAACAACGTCAAGTTCGAGGAGATACCGAAAATTCCACTTGAAGGCGATGGGAAGACGTCGAAACGGATACGCATGTGAGTGAAATTTGGTATTATTTCGCGATTCCATTCTTACAACTGTCTTCTTCCTAGGCTCTACGCGAAGCTCCTCGCGAATGAACTACGTGTCTCAGACCTCCAAGAAGCCGACGACGCCATTCTACTCTCCATGTAATCTAAAAGCCCAATCGTCTCTCCGCATCTCCCAGGCCGCCTCATTGTCAACAGCTACACCATCACGACTCGGAACCAATTGCAACTTAATCCACTCAGCAGTGACACTGAGTCGTTTCCATCCGCGATCAGCTTGAGCGAGGTGTAGAGGCGGAAGGTACAATGGATGTGCTGTCTTGCGATGTGTGGGATTGACGTTAGCCCGCTGAGGTACTTGTGCTTGAGTACGCTCGTCGAGCCGTATCCTCAGGTGCGTCGGCCCTATCTTCCGTTCAGCAGATACATATCTTCTGTGTCTAGCGCTTCGAATTGACTGCTGCACGGGAATTGTTCGGATTTCAGCTACTTTCAAGCGAGCAATGTTAACAACGCTCGACCAACAGCTCCCTTTTGCCGATCGCGTCGTCAGTCGGCGCGAGTATGCCTTCGAAAGGGGCTAACGCGACTTCCGGACCGACAAGGAGACTGAAAGGAGAGATGAAGGGCGGAGTAGAAGTTATTGGCGTGCATAGATGGCTCCTGGCGCTATATTTCGAACGATGTTAGGCAAGGTAAATTCAACCTTTCTTACTTCATCCTCTGCACTTTCTTTACGTTAAACAGACAGACTTTCTACATCGTTTTCATTCATCCCTTCTTTCCATTCGTCATGATTTCGTTCGTCGTTAGCGAACTTCTACTGACGATTACGTTTGCATTCTAGACTACCGGTGTAAAATTCGTGAAGACGGTGCAGGCGCTGCAGTAGCGCTTGGGCTATAAAGTACTGCTCAAGGGCAGGTCTGTGAGAAATGCGACAGTCGAACTCAAGTACCTCAACGCTCTCAAATAGAACTCGCACATAACGAGATGCTGGACGAGCTGCAATCTGTCCGTTGCGTCTCGCTGGGCCCGATTGCCGATGGGAACGACCCATGTAGTTATGATGTAGTTGGCGGCGAGGAGGTGCTCGAGACGAGACTGACGGCCCTTCAATCTACAGATGCATTGGTGCTGCTCGTCATTCGGAGCCCATGAGACCATACAATCGCGGTCTCAGGGTGCACGATACGATCCCGTCTCATTCTGGCCATTGTATTCATATTTTCTTCCATATACAGCCGACTTCGACCGCCCTCGTGGAGCTTCGAGAGAGCGTAGGATTACTCTAGCAGGTGGTTCGTCTACGTCTACTTCATTACACCTTACGAACGCTGATCCTCAGATAGGACAGTTATGGATTTTTGGACCTTCATATGTCATTGCGCCGTTGTTTAACTCTATTCAGTGCATACAATCACACGCCATTCGGGCTTAAAATTTGCATTTTCCTCCCCGAGCGCTCTGCTTGATCGACAGCAAAATACGCTATGGTCTTCGCTCTAATTACACCCTTGAGTTAATAACATTTTTAAGTTTCTGTTTGACTTTCGCGGGCGGCTAGCGCAGTGAAGAACTCCATCTTCGATGTTACTTTCTTTGAGCTACAGCGTGGACTTATCACCCGTTCTCACCGAGCCGCCTATGAAATAATTTAATAACGCTGAAGCTTAAGCGAATCGGAAGACGCATTCCGCGCATTGTTTGTTCATCCGACTTTGCGAATGAAATTATAGAACATACATCGTCTTGTCAGGCAATAAATCTTTTACGCGTTTGAAGTCGCGGTCCGAAATATCGTTCTTTCCTCCGACGTCGTCCTTGCCTGGGATCGATGGCAAACTTCAATGTGACCTAAGAGAGTCAGGTATGCTTAGAGTCGAGGAAGAACCGGGATGATATTGATAGAGAGCCTGAAGTTGACATGCTCGACAATACTTAGATACGGAGCGGCTTTGCCATAGCCAAGGTTCTTACGAGCGTCTATCACAAGCAGCCAGGGTACATCGGGCCGCTTTAACCGGAATTTCTCACATGCAATCTCGCCCGATTTCAGCTCTCTTTCCTCCCAACACCCACTTCAACTTCAACGCCGCCCTGATCCTTTCCCCCTCAAATCGGAATTCATACAAAACGCTTATATACAGACGATCGAACACCCAACATATGCTCTCAAGTCGTATGTCCGCCAGCCGGTTCGATTATATGCGGCCTGCCGACGCCGGAGCTTCATCTCTGTGCCCATACGCATCGTGTGCGATCAGTAAATGTCGATGGATAAGGAGCGGTATCTGAGTGGTCAGCTGAGAGTCGCTATCAGGTGAAATTCGGCACGGTCTAGGGTCTTCAGACATCGGGGGGAAGAAAAAGTGCGTGTAACGTACTTATGTCCTTTCTTCTACTCTATATATACGAACGCGCCAACGTCGGGGTTTACTGCAGGTCGATTCCTCCGTTGATGACCGCCTACAGCAATTGACGACAAGGCTCAGTCCAAAAATAACGCGCCGTCGACGGTTTCTCGGAGCCTGACATTCCGTCGGTCACCGATGGAAACACCTCCCCTTCACGGACCGAGGCGCGCCTTCTGTTTCACCTCCCCTTCTTCCTCTTGTCTCCCAGCCTCAACTCTACCGTCGTCGCACTGGAACAGTTGCCTGTATCAACGCCTCCTCGTCCTCTTCCGGTGCGCAAAAGAAGTCTAATTCAATCGCCCCGCACGAGATGGGGATATGATAACCGAGCAGGGCGGCCATGTTGTTCCCGATGTCTGGGCTGTCAATGACCCCTCGCTAGCTGGGTTATTTTAAGGTGCGTGTTATTTGCGGGGAAGGGTTCCTTCCGTTCTTTTTACCCCCCGTCGAGGTCGTATCGCCTCCTTCGCCTCCTTCGCCTCCTTCGATCCATCCTCCTCCTCGCGCTCCATTCGAATGATTTAAAGGTTCGCGCTCACGAATTTCACGATCTATAGATTACGCTGCGAGGTCGCGATGACTAGCTCTCTATTACTCGTCGCGTTTGCGGCTACCTCACTCTCCGGCGTCATCGCACAAGGCATCGTTCCTCTCGTCGATAAGAGGTTTACCTACGATAACCTCGTGAGTCACCTCCCGCATTCGCCTCCTTCCTAAGCTCATTTCTCGCCCCCTTCGTTCTTCCTTAGCCGTATCGAGTCGACACAGATGTCGGCCAACCCCGAGGGGAGCAAAAAGGATACAACATATGCAATTCAACGACCGAAGGCCCTTCTTCGTTATGTCAAACCGCATTTATCAACTCCCTAGACGGTATGTCCTGCTCTTGCTCGTTCTCCTCCTCTTCCTTTTCTCCTTTATCTTCTCACCCGTATTTTTCTTTCAGATTTCTGCCTCTGGGCACCCGCCGAACCCGGACACACCGTCGGCGAGATCGAGGGAGAGATGATTGCCTGGTGCACTAAGCCCGGACATGGCACGCGCGTCATTCCCGATGACACTATCCTCGGGGTCCAATTCACGAAGTCGCCGGATTATGTCCAAGTTGTGGGGTTCATGGACCAGACGAAGATCAATATGATCGCAGGAGACGCGGGTGGAGAGATGGACCCTCATGGGGCGGATAGAGTGTGTTCTCCGTGATTTTTGAGAAAGTGGATGCTGATGAGAGGTATTACCAGAGAGGAAATCCAATGGGAGGGTTGTTGTTCACGAACGCGTGGACGGGGGGTATGATTCAGGCTGTCGAATGGCACAAGTACGTCTCTTCTTCCGCTCACATCTCTTCTTTCAACTCAACTCTTTGTTCGCCAGCTTCAACGGCGCCAACATGTTCTGCCTCAAAGCATGCGACCCGCGCGGGCCCCGCGCACCCCAAATGTGCGAACACATCTACGACACCCAAGGCTGCGGGTTCAACGCACCCTCCAACGCCCGTAGTGGGACCTTCGAATCCTGCGCCTCCGACTCCCAGAACCCACCCGGTCAAGGGCCTGCGGTGCCGCCCGCGTCGTCGCAGTGCAGCACGTACGCGAGCACGGCGATTTATGGTGCAAGCGCGAGTGTGACGGTGCCTATACCTGGAGCGGCGAGTTTGAGCTTCTCGACGACCAGAGGGGCGCCGACGACTTCGAGTACTATGTCTACGACGAGTAGTGTGAACTCGACGAGTGGTGGCGCAGGCGCGGGTACGAGTGCGGGTGGGGGTTCGAGTGCAGGCGCGAGTGGGTCGAGGACCTCTGATGGTCCAGCGGCGACGCAGACTCAGACGACGGGCGCTGCTGGGAGGGCGGAGGTTGCTCGTTTGGGCGTTGTTGCCGCTGTGGCGGTCCTCCTTGCGGTGGTCGCATAGACAAAGAAATGTGTGAGACACATCATATGAACGTCGTGGTACGCCATTTTCGGACACGAACTATCCACACTTCAGGCTTTTGGGACTTGGACTTTCAGGGGGGGACTATGTTTACGACGTATTACGGTCTCTTTTTATACTGTTTAGGTCTAATCTGGCTAACTTTCTTCAGAGAACTTTGTTGTAGTAGTTGTATCGTCATCGTTCGCAATCTGTGAAGAGATTGTAGACGTTCGCCCTTGAAATAATAGATTCGCATTCTTCTAGGCGTTCGCTCAACGTATACTATCGTGCATCGAGGGTTTTTTTCGGCGGTGTGCGTCCGTTGACGTTGCCCCTCGAACTGAATCGAGCTCCAAACATTAATTTATGGTATTGGACGAGGTGATAAGCCCGATAGATCGATTCAAATCCCTACTATAGGCAACCTGTAATGGCTCTCTAGATCTTTTTCTCGGTCAGAACCTGAATATTTGAATTAATCGGCGTTCGACCAAGGAATATAGGTTAAGAATAGATTGCATAGATCCAAGTGTGGTTCCAGAGAGGCGGTCATACTCATACGTGGCGCTGTGGCAAATCCTGGCATGGGCGCCTATATCCCCGGTGGTTCGAAGTAAATGAAGCACGACAGGCTTTATACTTTCGGCCTCTAGAAAAGCTATCGTCAGTAGATAATCGATAAAAAGGAAAGACAGAAGTAGAATACAGCTTACCTACGGATTAGATGAATCGCCACGATTACCACCTTATCGAGTCGGCGATTCGCTGAATCAAGTTCTCTAGGTTGCTCCAATGTTACTCGAATGGCAGGCCATCTGATTAGATAAGTCTATCAATGTGAGAGCGCTTCTCGAGATCCAAACGCGCACCATCTTTCTCTTTCGTCCCACCACTTGCGCCTGTTTCTCGTTTGGTGTGTGTCCCCCTCTTGTTCGCCAAAGGCACGCTGATCGCCCTATGAAGACAGACGCTATACGTGGAGGGCGACGAGTGTGCCGTCAATGCGTATATCCGCTGAACCGCGACGTGCGATCCCCGTCTCGCAATCGAGGACCGGGCAAGCGTAGATTAGAAGCACACACCTCGAACCGTCGTTCAGATTTTCGATATCTGGGCAATTCGAATAAGCTGTGAAAGGTTCAGAGGTGGGTGTTTCGAGCAACTTCGAGACTGATATTTTCAGCCCCACTATTGTTCAGGGAAATCCAAGCAAAAGCGGACGCATATATGCGTACCTCCGAGCTCTAGAAATGTGCCATCGGCCCAGAAATCGAGAACGTTGCCCGCGGAGATCCTGTACTGGCCTGTACTAAGGTCCTGTTTCATGAAACGCTGCCGGCAACCGAAGCTATCTCAGGCTCGTCCGCAGCTTAGCTTCACCTCAGACCTGTCCTAGGCATTTTTGTTCCATCTTCCTCCGCGTTCACGAGTTCGTGCCGAGGATTACCTCTGTCCAAAGAAGCGGTGTGCATTGCCGGCGGGGCATGTCTCTTCGCCTAGAGGTGATACGCTATGGGTAAGCCTTCATGGGATAATTATAGTGCCTACAGCCACTCACGAATCCGCAGTCGACGAAGCACTGGAAGGGCAGAAATTCCAATCGTCCATACCGACACCATCGAGCCTACGATTATGCCCGCGCAAAACCAATTAGCATGGAGCAGGTATGTGCTCGTTCAACTTTCGGAGCCATCTGGGTACCTAGAATGCCGAGTAGGTCACTGGAAGAGACATTGGACTTTCTCCCGAGGTGCGATTCGACGACCACAGCCATGTTCCCCACGATTTATCTTTACCTCAAACACAGCCATAGAAAGTCTCGTCTGTGCGCATGCGTCAGAAGAAGGTCGAGACAAGCCAAGTGGAATGCGTGAGGCTACGAAGGTGCGTATGGAGCCTGCTTCGAATCACAGACGTTGACGGTTGCAACGGATTCCTCTCAACGAAAGGTTTCATATCCAAGGGCAGGGCCAGTGAGATTTCATACAAAGAACCACGTAGAATTCAGAGATGATACTCCAGACCGAGGACATACGTAGGCCGCGATTCAATTTTCACTAGGAGAGATAACGCCGACTACGAAGCTGTGTTGACAGTAGTGCATAGCCAGGTGATTATCCTCAGCGGAATGACCTCTGGGTGTTGACTAAACTTTCTTCGAGACGTTTGAACAGCATACATACGTCGATGACAATCCGCAGTCGAGGCTGAGAGGCTGGGACGCCTGATTTCGTGGTTGGCGGAGTGCGGCAGAAATAGCACGGCAACTTGCGGCTGTGTACCTTGGTCTGTTATCGTCACCATCCACGGCCTGCACGTCGACTGACCCATCGCCTTGGCACTCCAAAACCCTCCACAACGACCGTCTTGGTTGCACTGTGCCACTCTTACCCACTGACCACCACCACTACGCCCACCACACTCGCTTTCAACACACTAACCGCCTCTAATGTCCTCTGAAACACCGCCGGCGACGAAGGGTAAGAAGATCAAGCAGGTCTTCAAGTCGGCCGCACGACTACCTCGCGCTCTCAAGGCTGGAAGAGGGAATGGGAGAAACGACTTCTCCCCACGTCCTGGAGAGCCACCGGTCGTTATCCTCAAGGTTCAAGTCGTTGGATGTCTCAATTTGCTCGCGAAGGATCGAGGTGGCACGAGCGACCCGTACGTATGTTCTCTTCTAGATACAGCGCTTCTAACCCCATCTTCAGCTTCGTCGTGGTCTCTGTTCTCAACACTCGCCATCAAACGCCTGTTATCAAGCGAACCCTCAACCCTGTCTACACCCCTAAAGATGCCACCTTCGAGTTCCCCATCTATCTGTCACTCGCCGATCGGCTTGGTGTCGTCGAATTTATCGTCTGGGATAAGGATATGCTGAAGAAGGACTACCTCGGAGAGGTCTCGCTCTCGCTAGAGGACTGGTTCGTTGGGAAAGGGGAGAAGAAGGAGGTAGCCTATAGCTTTGACGATCCGGCTAACCAGGTGCGTCTTTCCCACTCTACGCACGATCTTCGATCGTTAGAGCTAACTCTCTCGTAGCCTATCTCCCTCAACCTCGTCTCCACGCGCGCCAACACGTCCTCGACCGGCAGCGTCCAGATCAAGCTCGGATTTGCACCCACAACCAACTCGAACAATCTCATGGAGTTCGACGAAATCTATTCTGAGCTCGTCAAGCGTTCGAGGCCTTCTGTGGTCTCTGCTCCGCCTGTAAGCCCGATGGTTATTCCTATCGTGTGCGAGCACTGACGAAATTACTTGCCTTTCCCTACACTGTTCATTAATCACCGTCTATCGCATTCCCATGATCATATCCTACACTACTATATCTATTCGACCGACCATCTTCGCCCACTCTTCGCCGCCTCAGACCGAAGGTGTAGGCACCATCCGTTCGAACCAGATCGGTGGTGCCCAGTACGAAGACGACGGTGGGCTGTCCTCAGACTCCTCAGACTCTGACGACGAAGCAGAATACGTCGACGCGTCGGACACAACTCCTCCCAGCTCCTCTTCGTCATCTCCTAAGCAGCTACTCGACATCTACATACCACCAGGCGAGTCCAGCGACTCCGATGCGAAGACAGCCCCAGCGAAACCCCACGCGCCACTTCCCGAACTCACCATCCAACCATCGTCTCCTGCCACACCTACTCCCGGCAGTTTACCTACACCGATGGCGATTGAGCCGACGCCCAAGGCGTCAACCGGATTCGCTGTCAAAACGCCCACGTCAGCAAGGTTCATCCCGAAGAAATTCGTACGCAAGTTCTCCGGTCTCACAGGATCGAGCACCAGCACCAGCCCAGGCGACTCGCCCAACTCACCTGCCGCCGCCAGCCCCGCCGTCGACTCTCATGGCAACCTCGTAGCACCCATCCCAGAGAGCGGCAACGCGAAGAAACGATCAGCGAGTCGCGAAAGGATCAAGTTCGGGAGGAGTTGGAGCTCTGGCAACGTCAATGCGGCTGCTGCTACTTCGTCGCCGTCGTCAGGTGCGAGCACCCCTGGCGAGCAGAGCGGGACGGCCCTGGCTCCAACACCGACACCGTCAACGACGGCGACCCCTGTGGCGGGTGCAGAAGGGTCAAAGACGGGATTGGTGGCGATGGGCGGTAGGAGGAAGAGGGGTGATTATCAGTTCAAGGGCGCGAATGATATCGTGGGCATTGTGATGTTGGAGATTCAAGGAGCGGATGACCTACCTAGGCTGGCGAACAGTGAGTATTTCACGTTGTTTCGCACATTTATTTCTTTGTCCCCGACCTTTTTTCGCCGTGGTGGAAGTCGTCGTTCTACCTTTGCCATCTTCAATGTTCGTTTCTGTTGCTCCTCCAACAACATATCTTCGTATGAAGGACCTCGCGCCGTCCTTTTTTAAATAGTGTTTCCATCATCGATGCTCTGTCTTCGCCGGCAAGGCCGTCCCTCCTTCGTTGTCGTTTCCATTTTAACCTTTCGATAACTGACATTCTCCGTCAGTGACGCGTACTGGGTGGGACATGGACCCCTTTGTTGTCATCTCCTTCGGCAAGAAAGTCTTCCGCACTCGCGTCATTCGGCATTCGCGTAACCCCGTCTGGGACGAGAAGATGCTCTTCCACGTTCGCCGCTACGAGACATCGTTCAAGATTCAGCTCAACATCCTCGATTGGGATAAGCTCAGCTCTAACGATCACATCGGTGACGCCAGCCTCGACGTGAAAGAACTCCTTGCCAATGCACCTCAGCCTGACCCCGTCACTGGCCTCTACGCTGCTGGAGAGGAGGAAGGAGGCGGAGAGAAGGGGATGAGGGCATTCAATCTGCCGTTGTCGACTGCGAAAGAGACGTCATGGGAGGGGAAACATAATCCGGTGATCAAGTTCAGGTGTGCTCTTCTATCTCTCCGTCGTCGAAGGCATCTCATCTCGGGTCGCATAGGGCGAAGTATCAGCCATACGACGCGCTTCGGCAACGTTTCTGGAGGCAGTACCTCACGCAGTACGACACAGACGACACCGGTGCACTTTCGCACCTCGAGCTCACGTCCATGCTGGATTCGCTCGGTTCTACCCTCACGAGTTCGACCATCTCTTCATTCTTCACTCGCTACGGCAAGAAACCCCACGAGGATGAAATATCCATCGAGCAGGCCGTTCTGTGCCTCGAAACCGAGCTCGGACGTCCTGCCAGCGAACGTAAACGGATAGACGATGACACCACCAACGACTCGTCCGTTAGTGCAACGCCGTTGCTCTTGGTGTCCGATGGTAAAGGCCAAGCCCTGGACCTCGACCAACTCGACTTCTCCGGCCCATCACATGTTGGAGGAGCTGCGCCAGAGGGAAAACCGGGTCCACCTGGTCCATACCACACAGAGCCCATGCAACAGCCCCTTTCGCATGCTGCGACTGGCCTCTCGGACCTTAGCTCGAGTGAAGCCGAGGATGTGTCGAGTACTAGCGGTGGTGGTACGCCTGCTGTCGACGGAGTGCCTGCTACGCCCGGAGCAGGTGGTGAAGAGAAGAAAAAGAAGAGAACGCGGTTCCGCCGCATACGCAAGTCGGACGAGGGCAAGAAGAAACGTTCCAAGGAACCGTCCAGCGAAGACTCGGCCGCTGGCTCGGACGACGGCGTCGAGCGCATCATTAATGTCAAGAACTGCCCCCTCTGCCACCGCCCTCGCCTGAACTCGAAAGCAGAGATCGACATCATCACTCACCTCGCCGTCTGCGCTAGCCAGGACTGGAACAAGGTCGACCAGATCGTTGTGGGCAACTTCGTCACGGCGAGTCAGGCGCAAAGGAAGTGGTACACGAAGGTACTTTCCAAGGTCTCGAGTGGCGATTATAAGCTCGGAGCGGTGCGTAGTCGTGCTATTTCATGTGAACGAAGATGAGACTTACCCTCGAAAACTAGAACTCGGCTAATATCATCGTTCAAAATCGGTCATCGGGCCAGTTGGAGGAGGAGAAGATGCAGGTCTACGTTCGTTTGGGGATCCGACTGTTGTATAAGGGTGCTACTAGTCGAATGGAAGGTGGTCGAGGTACGTGTCGTGTTGCAGTGCGATCGAAAGCTTATTTATTTTGTTTCGTTTTTAGCTCGTCGTCTGCTCAAATCGCTTTCGATTAAGCAAGGTGTGAAGTACGATGATCCCGAGTCGGCGAAGGAGATCCCAGCGTTCATTGAGTTCCACTCCTTGAGCGTTGAAGAAATTCTTGACCCGCTAGATTCATTTAGTAAGTGTTTATTGTTGATCTTCGCCCACGTATTGATCCTATTCTCCGATAGGAACGTTCAATGAATTCTTCTATCGGTTCGTCTTCCTTCAACTTCTCATACTCTCTCTTACTTACCCTTGAGCAGGAAACTCAAAGATACTGCACGTCCTGTCGAAGCTGCGGAAGACCCTACCCGTATCGTCAGTGCCGCTGACTGCCGTTTAATGGCCTTTGAAACGGTCAGCGAGGCCACGAGACTTTGGATCAAGGGACGCGAGTTCACCGTCTCGCGTCTTCTTGGTGAGGCGTACAAGGGCCAGGCCGAGAGGTATACTGGAGGAGCTCTCGCGATCTTTCGCCTCGCTCCTCAGGACTACCATCGTTTCCATTCACCTGTTTCAGGGACGATCGGCCCCATGACTTACATTGCGGGCGAGTACTACACCGTTAACGTATGTGTTCCATCACCTCGAGCTTTTCATGTCATATGCTAAAGCAAGTGACCTTCCTTTCCCTCTAGCCTCAAGCCATCCGCACGGCACTCGACGTGTACGGCGAGAATGCACGCAAGATCGTCCCCATCGATAGCCCTGAATTTGGCCGCGTGATGGCCGTGTGCGTTGGTGCAATGATGGTGGGTAGCATTCAAACCACGGTCGAAGAAGGTGAACAGGTGAAGAAAGGGCAGGAGTTCGGGTATTTCGCTTTCGGTGCGTAGATATTTATTCGTTTGGGGTCGAAACAACTAACTGGAGTGTAGGTGGATCAACTATCGTTATGCTCTTTGAAAAAGGCAAGGTGGTGTGGGACGAGGACCTCCTCGTCAATGGTCGTGCTTCGTTGGAGACCTTAGTCCGTGTTGGTATGGGAATTGGCTATCTGCAGAACTAGATCGTTGATCTTCGGTGCTGTTCCATTTCTTTACTCACAACCTACATCGCTTGCGACGTTCCCGTCATTTGTTTTCAACGATCCGTCTTCGAATGTTGCTGTATCTAAATGTACGATATATGGTTTTGAGGTTCATAGGTGTCGTCCCCGAGACAACTTCTGACGTCTAGTAAGAATGGGGCGCCGGCGCAGGGTTCGTTGCCTGTGTGAGCGTTCGTATGCGATGGGGACCCCTCTATAAACCATACGACCTCCCTAATAGAGGTGTGCAATAGGGAACAGTGACAGTGCAAACACGTCACCAACCACCATTGTTCGAGTAATTTCTTTGAACGCATTGCCTTCCGCTTGAATGAGATCGAGGTCTGAAGTTTTTTCGCGCAGGGGTTAAACTCAAAGGGAAATCAGATCCTGTGAGAATCCACTGGCGTGCAAGAGGAGCACGACTTAAGATCGCTCCCACACAAAGGAATACCGAAGGTCAACTTGTTGGACACGCAACAGTCGCAGTAACGATCGCATTTCATTTGCAGGCTTCTCAGATCCTGGATCGGTCCTGGACGAGAGGCAGAATTCCGGAACAAGACCAATTGGGCGACAACAACGAGGAAGAAGCGCTAAATGCTGGGATCACGATGCTCTGGGTACCCCAGAACATCGCTACAGCATTGAGACATTGCGATAAATACTGGGCTGTTTCGCTCTGCCAAATAACTGAAGTCTCTTCCTACCCCCATGCGAGTCTTCCTACCCTGCTCCCTACCAGCATGAACGACAGGGGAGATCATTATCCCCTTCAGGTCAGCTCATACGCAAATCAACAATTCTTCACCAATGCCACGGGGACGACGCTAATCGATACAATTATCGATGTTGTGGATGCGACGCCCCCAGGAAGAGGTCGACGTAAGTTCCATTTTCCGAGGTGAAAAGGCGGAGAACCTGATACCCCCTCGAAATAGCAGGAGGGAGAATCAACGTCGGTTCCGGTTCAAGAAATTTGACCTTCGAGAACAGTATTTTCCAAACATATAGCGGCACTGGGAAAGATATCGACCTAAATGCGTTCTGTGCGTCTCATACATCCCCTGACATGGTCATTTTCTAACATGCAGCAGTAAATCAAACCCCCATTCTCCCTCGCGCGAGACGTGAGTTTCGTGCCCAATTCTATAGTCCCTTTCAATGAGAAGCTCTTCTAACGGTCTCAATCCACAGAACCCGTACACGGGGGTCCTGTCGTGACGTACGAGCACCGTGTCTGTAACTCCCTCAAAGACCGAGGATTGCCTAGCCGAAGACGCAGCTAGTCGTTCTGCACAGCTCTCACGAATTCTAGATGATTGTCTATTTACACCATGCGCCATAACGAGTATGAGGATCCCGCTAGACGGGCATTTCTTGGACATGTAGTGTGTATACCTCGAAACGCCAGGAGACGCTTGGGTGCTTCCGAGAATATTTCGCCAAGGGGAAGTGTCGGACTTCTGAATTGTCCCAGCGGCTCGTTCCCAACATTTACGACGTGTGATAGGGCTAAGTCTCCGGAAACAGTCTGCCGTACACATACCTGTGTCCTATAGGGCAGAGGGCGCTTCGCGGCTAGACCCGAATGGGCCGTATGATTTTACACCTTTTCTGATTCGAGCGCCTGTAGGACCGGGCGCCTAAAATATGCCGAAGACGGCTTGCCCTCATGCTGGGCACGCCGAGGGTGGCCTGCATGGTTGTTTTCGAAGGGTATTACCGAATAGATCAAATTCCTTGACGTTCGTCTATGCCGGGCTTCACACGAGGAGACTTCTGTGAGCACGAGAATTACTGACGGTCTTATGAAATCACGTCAAGAAAAGAAGAATGTGGTTGTTCTACTGCCGAAGTGAAATGCTTTATCCACGTTGGAGTGATACAATCACATACGTATCATCTTGGCTTCCTTTTTCTTGCATCGGGGAGGGTCGAAGATGTGAAGGACGGCATTCAGCGTCCTTCGGGCCTGTGCCCGTTTGTTTGGCGAATTTCAAGTCAGTCGCTTTGGGCGCTTAAGTACTCCCAACGACGGGCGAAGGCTGGACAAGTTTCTTGTCACGGAAGCAGTTCAACGCACTACGTAAACATATTTCTTCCCCTTTTGTTGTCCTCTTATCGCCGTAAAAGGTTTATCCGATAGGTGGCATTAACTCAGAAACCCAGCGCCGGGATGAGAGAAGCGCGTCCAGATTGCTATCAATTGAGTCACAGTAGCGCCCAATTGAAATGAACGAAAAGCGCCCATATGAACTTGAAATTTGAATGGTACCGATAGCGTCTGGATATTCATGAGCGATACATTCGATGAATGGCGGTTGCAGGGTCTCCGAAATGCAGGTCCTTCACGTACGTGAAGTAGCTTCAATTCTAGTCGTTTTTTGAACAATAGTAAGGCGAGGCGGCCGCTTCTAATTCTTCTACTAGATATAAATAAATGCTGTGTGATGGAGCTCTTCTATCTCTCATCACTCTGGCATGAGCCGTATTGATCGCTCTGGGCGTCATGACCCCCTAGATCCATCTGTCTGGACAAATTACCTTCGTGTCCTAAAATTGCCACAAAATATGACTCATATATCGGTGTCCAGAGTTCTCTACCTCTTGCACTAGAAGAACCCCTGCACTCCTACCTTTCTTCCAAAGTTTGTTACAAGACCTCGGCATGACCTCTTCGAGCCGCAACCCGTTCGATTCTTACATCTCTACCAACGGGAATCAGTCTTTCTTCATGAATGCCCCAAATGCCCAATTGACCGACTCGGTGGTCAAAAGTGCCGACACTGCCCCGCCCGGCGACCTTCCTAGTATGTAGCCCATGTTTCTACTTAAGCGCCCGTTAACGTCGTCGCATGTCAGAAGGCTCCAGTGTGAATTTCGGGAACGGTGCAGCGGGTATCATTGTCAGGAACACAGTCATCGCGTCTTACTCAGGGGGTGGGAAGGATGTAGACCTCACGAAATTCTGTACGCCTACCTGCACCAATAAAATGCGATGATGCTCAACCAAAGTACTGGCATAGTAACTGAGACACCTATGCTACCATTGGCTGCGGGTGGATTTCCAGCAGGTACCTGGTCATACCATTTACGCAGCGTCGTCTCAATGATGATCGCTGTTAAAACTAGGATATACCAGCACCCACAACACCCAGCAAACGGCTGTACACCAGCAGTACATGGCATCCGCCGGTCCCTACACGTCCAATATGGTGGTTGCTGGACCACCTCTGCATACCAACGACGCTCACCTGCATCCAATGGCAACACCGCAACCTAATACGTCTTCTTGGGCGAACGGGACGATTCGAACACCAGCCCGTACCCCGTCCCCACAAAATCCGGTGCACCGCACTCACCATGGAGGCAACCGGAACTGTTAGAACGCATACCTCTGGGTGCCTCGTGAGTTTGTGCTACCCCTCTCTCAAGATTGGTCCTATAGGAAATTATCGCGTTCACAAAAGTAAATTATTTATGGAACATTCCTCTCAATTCGCTGGCGAGGCCTTGTAATCTTTTCCAAAATTCATTCCGCCTCCTTGAACCTCAAAAAAGGTATCTATGTTGGGATTCCTCTGGTATATTGCGAAATCATAATTCTATTTCTGTACGTCTTGAATATCTTCCAGAATATCACTCTGTCCAGACCCGCACACGTATTCCTGCCTCTCGCCTTTACAATCCACCCAAATAACCTTCACTCCCTTCACGTCCTCAAGGTAGACCATCGAACCGAATTGACGACACTCCGTAGGGTCATGAATTTCAACAGGTGACCCTTCCTCCTCTCGCCATCGAAAGAAGGCTTCGCCCACCATAGTACTAATATCCTTGAACCTGTTCCCTGTGCTTGTCGTTGCGGTCATATCATGAAGAGGATTCGAAGTTTCGGGAATGGGATCCTCTGGTATGACCGGCTAGCAACGGAAGGCAACATTAACATGGTCCCCAGAGCTTCTAGCTGGGACCTCCATGTGTCAATGTTCGGAAGGGAGAAGCATGTGTTCGGCCCCGTCGCGCCATCCCGGTATGGCGCCGCAGTCGAGCGTCGTGAGGTGAGTGAACTCACACGCGGAGAAGACTTGCGAAATATGAGAGGACGAGGATCGTGTGGCCGATCTTTCCATCTCCGTAAATCCTGAGGGAGAATGAAGTATTCGAAGGCTCGCGTACGGAAGAGTGCGCCACTACGATCCCCCGAGGAGTGCCCACAAAGGTGAGGACGTCATTTTCTGGGTAGTGGCTCACACAACGTGTGGTATAGGAAGTTAAAACACGGCGAACCATCGAAGTTTGGCTGCTGTCGGTAGGCGGAGCGATCGATGGCGTTCGTAACCTGAGCACACATGATGGGGAAGAGTAAATGTGGTCGAGGAATAACGCCATGGAGAAGAGGTCTTGTTTGATCTCTAAATCGGCGAGCCGCGGCAGTTGAACAACAGAAAGTGCGGCGGTATCGTTCGCGGATTGCCCGAGGCCCGAAAATGCGTCGTGTAGCGTCAGACATTCGAGTTGATCCATGTCTCGAAGCATTTCTTATAGCCATGTGGCTAGGGATGGGGGGGAGGGTCGCCCTTTGGATGGCCCAATACCTCAAGGCGGCGAAGCTGTGTAACCCAACTAGAATGCAAGAACGAAGAAAATCCGTGAAAGTTGTGAGCAATGGCGCGACATCGCCGAAGAGTTTATCCAAACACTCTTGGAAGAAATTACGGGCGAGTCTCGTCTTCATCTTGAAGGATTTCAACGCTTTGGAAGGTCGAAATATGTCAGGGTCCAACACGCCTCGAGGTGGAATCGTTGCACACATAGGCATCTGCAAATCAAATCTCTCAATTCGTTCCCAATCAGCGTCCAGAAATTCTGCGAGAAAGGGCAGAGATGGGCTGAATACTACTACTTACTTAGTTCAAGGACCCACCTGAGGTTCGCAGTGGATACGAAGAGCAGGTGCTTCGCGAACATGCATCATTTTATTATTATATTCCTGATAGCATCTTTCTTTGGAAGTGGCTCATGTCGCCCCAATGAAGGGTCGCCCATCAAAGAGGAATTTACAACTCGTCGTGCAAACGCCTCCTCTCCTTCCCTCAGGCTTTGCCGACACCGGCCCTCTTCATCTTCCTTAACCGCCACATATAATAGACAGTTTTCAAACACACGGGACTGTGGCCTTGCATATCCCAATTCGAAATTTCAACCATGATCCAAAATTGACTCTTGGTCAAAGGCGAGACAGCACTACTGATTCAGCATTCATTCGCTCCTCGAATGGAGCCTAAAATCGCTCGTGTCTACTGAGCTAACACCAAAACCGTGCCGCCAGGCATTTGAGAAGATAGACGTCGACACGGGACAGTGCTAGTAGCCTATCCGTCAGTCTTCTTTCTCTTTCTCATGTTCGTGTTCGTGTCTGCCAAACTAACACCAAGACCGCGCCTTGGGATAGGATTACATGGTTGCTACTTAGCGCAACACAGGAGCGAGCACTTACAGTGACACCAACGCGGCCGGTGTGCTAAGGAGATGTATCAGGCGAACGAGATTACTTAGATCATACGTAGCTTATTATAACTTGCTCGTCCCCATCCCCATCCCCATGCCCCCCTCCAACGCCATCCCCCCCACCCCCACCCCCACCCCCAACCGCTGTATAGGCGCCAACTTCCTCTTCAAATCCCTCAATATCGTCGTCTTGGGGTGCCACTCCCTGAAGGCGGCGCGCAGCGCTGTGATATCGGGTGCGAAGAAGTGGGCGACGCGCGGGTCGGCGATTATGTCTCGGAGGGACCAGGGGATCTGGAGGGAGTGTGCGGTGAGTGTTTTTAGGAAGAGGAAGGAGATGGAAAGGACCAAACGCACCTCATAGTCATTCTGCTCATTCGCAGCATTAAAATGTTCGACGCTCATCGTCGTACGCGTACGCGTATGCTCGTGCATCATCATCCCCTCATTCGTCAAAAACAGGTACTTGACCGCGAGTCTTATCAAAAAAAAAAAAAACGATTTTTTTTGCCATTAGCTCCACACGAAAGGGGTCCGCGAAAAAAAAAAATATCACGCACTCATACACCCCCACCTCCTCATAAACCGTCGAGTGCCCCACGCCATTCAGCGACCCCGCCGTCGCTTCTGAGAGGTGCGCCAGGAGGCCCGAGTCGGGGAGCCCGGAGTTGCGGATCCGGAGGAGGAGGATGAGGAGGGCGGAGAGGAAGTCGGATGAGCTGTACGTAAAGAAAATAAATTGAGATTGAGATTGTTCGTTAGATAAAGTCGTTAGTGAAAGTGTGGGAGGTGATAAACGAGAGGGATGGGGAAGAGGGAGGAAGGAAGAGGAACGTACTGATACGCATCCCCATCGATGTACAGCGCCCGCAGGACGAGCGGGTGCGAGAGCGCGGTGAAGAGGCCCGAGTAGATGGGCACGACTTGGTCGTTCAAGGAGGCGACGTAGAGCATCTTCGTCTAGCAGAACAACAGTGGGTTACATGAGTGCGAGCATACAGAGAGAGGAGGGAGAAGTGAAGTGAAGACGCACCCCGTGGTCTAGGACGTTCTGCAGAGCCTTGACGTACGCTTTCGACACTGCGCTCTCCGAGTTCTAATTTTTTTTTTTTTGGTAAGCCCGAAAACCACCCAAAGAGAGGGATTGGAATGAACAGAGACGTACCTGGAACTCGAACAGCTCTCGCGCAGCTGTCGACTCGAAGTACTACACACAAGAACGAGGGACGAGTTGAGTTATGAGCGTCTCCTAAGTATACGGGGGGATACGACAGCGGCAGAGACATACCTGAAGGTACGGCCCGACGAGCGTACTCGAGCTCAAGTACCGCAACGGGCCTAAATGGATCCCACACATCGCGAGACAGCATACGCGCTGGACCTTCCTCCTCTGCGTCTTGCTCTGTGGCTCGCTCAACCCAATTGCAGATGAGAAGGAGTCGGCGGCGCTACCCAGCGTGTTCGCGTTGGCGTGGTGGGGATCATGCAAAAGCTGGCTCCGCGAGGTGACGACATGGCCGTCAGCAATGAGCCGATCGAGGAGGTGCGTCGAGACGATAGAGCCCTGCGAGTGCGTTGAGACGAGGATGGCGTCTGCGGCGTGGAGGTCGGAGACCCAGGATGAGTTCGCGAGGAGGTTTGTGTATAGCCTGGAAAGAAGCGTTCGGATGAAACTAGGAGATAATGCGAGAGTACAACTCACTTGTCGACCCGCTTCGAGATCGTCCCGTCCCCTTCGAGTGGGATCTTTGTGATCTTGTCGAACTTGACGTTGTGCTCGGCCTCGAATTCTTGGAGGGCCTGTTCCATCATGTTGGCGAATTTTATGCTGGTTCCGGTGGGCTGGAAAGAGAGTAAGGGAGAGTAAGAGTGGGTTCGGGACGGAGTCGCAGAAGGATGTTAACAATGGAGAAAGGAAATGACAACACCGTCTCCAACAACGAGACTGGAACACGAGAGACTCAGCCGTAACTCACCTCGCCCAACATCGTCCGAATCATCGAGCCCGGGAACCAGCCGTGCACGCCAATGACGACCACGCTCAGCACGTCCTTCACCTCTCCTTCCATCACACCTCCCCCTCCGCCCGCACCAGCACCCGCACCGGTCTTCGCCCCACTCACACCCCACCTCAACCTATCCCCCCTCGTATCCCACCCAGCATCCTCAAACACCTTCCACGCCTTCGGCAGCTCCTGCCCGAACGCCCTGAACCGCTCCCTCCTCTCTCGTTCGAGCAACGACTCCCCGCCCCCGCCTTCACTCGCCTCCTCCGTCCCCATACCCCCCGCCCGCTCCTTCCCCTTCCCGCTCCTCCCCACTCCTCCTCCT